ATCCACCACCTCCCCGGGTAGCACATTGCTGCTGCGGGGAAAACTGTACGCGGGAGAGTGTGGCCCCAAAAGGAGTGTGGGCAGCAGGTCGAAGGAGGTGATTCTCCCCCTCTGCTCTGGTGAGACCCCACCTGGATACTGCGTGCAGTGCTGGTGCTCTCAACCTAAGGACATGGAACTGTGGGAGCAAGTCCAGAGGCCACAAAGTTGATAAGAGGACTGGAGCATGTCCCCTACGACGACAGGCTGAGGAGGCTGGGGTTGTTCAGCCTGGAGATGGCTGCATGGAGACCTCGAAACAGCTTTTCAGTATCTGAAGGCACTACAGCTGCAGAGGGACTCCTTGTTACGAGCTGCAGGGACAGGACAAGGTGCAATGGGTATAAATTGAACAAGGAGAAACTTAGGTTAGATATTAGGAAAAAGGTTTTTCCTGTGAGCGTGGTGAGACATTGGCACAGGGTGCCTAGGGAAGTAGTTGATGCCCCAACCCTGGCAGTGTTCAAAGCCAGGTTGGATGAAGCCTTGAGCAACCTGCTCTGATGGGAGGAATCTCTGCCCAGGGCAAGGGGTTGGGACTAGGTGATCTCTAAGTTCCATTCCAACCCCTAACATTCTACGATTCTATGATAGTATTAGTACAGATGGCCCTGAGGGTGACAGGAGTAGAAGTGTTCTCTTTGCATTGCCCAAGGTTCATTTAAGCCCTTGCTAAAATTAAATGTGTGTGTTTACATCCCCCTTGCAAACAAGCATAAGTCATTATTAGCAACACAATTTTTATACTGCACAATTGAAGCAAATGGATTTCAGGTCCAGGTCAGGTTGGAGTCAGCTGCAGCCAAACCCATATCATGGGTCCCTGTTACCTCTGTGTCTGCTCCCCATCTTCTCCATGACTTAGTACAGTTGACTGGAATTGTCTTTTTGAACAGTGTGATTTTTTTGGGGGGTCCCATTTCTGACAGATGTAGAGAATTCTCAATTTCTGTGAACTGCACAAATGGACATCATGCAGCACTGTGTGAGAGATGATCACTCACTGTCAGAATTAAAACTGCACCTGTTCCTGCCCCAATCACCTTGAAGAGAAAGTGAATAGAGATGAACATCAAGAACATCAGACTTTGTCACAGAGATAAGCAGAAAAGGAGCTATTTAATACAAGGACACAGAGAAGATCCACACTTCTGCTGTCTGTTAGGTGGCTTGTTTAACAAGGAATAGGTAAGTTACAGTAAGTCCTCCAAGGATCATTAGACATTTTTGCAGCACTCTGGTCACACTATACCACTGGCCACACAGGACATGTGGATGCTCCTATTTCACTCTCTCTGCCAAAGCTTGCTTGCGTGTGATTCTGCAGAAATACATTGCAAACCATGCCCAGATCCATTCAGGCATGTGCTTACCCAGCGTGAACTGTGGAGAGGAACAGGGGGACAAGAGAACAGAAAAAAAAATGAAAGGAAGGGACAGACTTACATTCCATTAAAGAAAACAAAAAGTTTTCTCAGTCACTGCCAAAGCAAGGTGAGACCTGCTTTAATAGCAGCAACTAAGCCTTCAGTCCAGCCTCTTAGAAGTAACTATATTTAGCTGTTTGGGAAGCAGTGCTCACAGCTGAACACTCAGGTTCTGCAAGTAAGTCCTCAAGTGGTTTAGTCAAGTTGTCAACATTGTCTGCTTCCTTTAATTGCCACATCTGCCAGAATCCTTCCTGTCTGCCACTAGGTAGGATACACGAGATGTGACCAATGCTCATAACAGACTGCCCACCAAAATCAAATACCTAACAAATAGGGGACTTGCTTCCAGGTAGCTTGGATCAAAAATATGGGTTTTTTTCATGCTATGTTTCCATCCTCCCTACTGACTTTTCCCCAGAGTAGAAAAAAACTATTTCTGTCCACAGAAGACAGTGAAATACTTGCCCAGTCAGCAACATCCCAAGTGAAATGAGACACTCTGTGCTTTTTAATAAAAACTTGTCTCTTTCCCATTTTTGCTATGCATTTCAAGTGGGAATTGGATTCACTCATCTTAAAAATAAGTATGCCCAAGCATAATTTCCTAAAGCAGAACCAATAAGAAAACATGGCACAGTCCCTTGAGGAGCTACAATATATATTACACTTTTTCAGCATATGAGCATAGTTTTCATTCAGGCTATGAAAGTAAACAGCTTATTTATTTCTACTGACAAATATGGAAGTTTAATGAATTCCCTTACCCCTATTGCATGTTTCCAGTAACCAGTGGTCCTTGTGGATAACCCAAGAGTGGAAATAGCATGACTTGCATATTCTTCAGCAGAAGGAAAAACAAAAGATCTCTTTGATGCAGTTATGTTGAATGCTGCCATTTTTGTAGCAATTACGAATGGGGTTAAACTCTGAACAAAAATTCCTTTTGAGGCATACTCATAATGTAGTGCTCTACTGAAATAGTCCAAGTAGGTCTAGAAAGACACAAAAAAAGCAGAAAGAGACATTTTTGATTATTTTTTAAAACAATCAAGTCTCAGGGCATAGTTTTATTAAAATTACAGAAAAGTTGTAACATATTTTATATATCAGCTCAAAAAATACACTGCATAAAGTATAAAATATGCATTTCTGAATTATAATCAACATTTCTATTTGCTGTCATTTGTTTGCTATAAACCTGCCACAATACAGTAACTTGCAGGACAAAGTGGCTGCTTAATTCTCTGATGTGAATTTGACAAACAATCTGACAATTTCTGCTTAAAAACAATACAGCAACATTTATTTCATCTACAGCAAACACATTGTTTAGTCTGGGGACATTGCAAGGACACTCTAAAGCCAACTACGCCTACCACTCAGAAGGACAAAATAAAGTCCCATTCTTTAATACACTTCCAGGTGACTTTTGTATTCAACTGTCTTCCCCAGAAGCCAAGTTAGCTTCTTCCTGGGACTCCCTAATGCAAAATTATTCATTTGTAGTTTTACAGGATAGCAAAACAAGCAGAAGCCTGATAGCTGGGACTGCTGGGATCAGAGAAAAAAAATGAGCCCGGCTCAATCCTATCAAGGCAGCAACACTGATTCCATGCTGAAGCTACTGCTGTGCTGCACAGCCAGTTACCTCTGAGGAAGAGCATTTTAGACTCAGCTTGTGAGCAAATGTGTTTCTGCTCCTGAACAGCCTCACAAAAGGCTTTCCCAACAGTTTGTTGGGAAATCATCTTGTGCAAATGCTCTTACACCTGCTTTAGGAAAGCTAAGCAACCACTTCAACCACCACATACTGTTAATGCACAAAGAGGCTTAAGATGCAAGTTCTTGTTCTCACTTCTGTGTTCTGACGCCAAGCTTTAAACTGGATTGCTGATCCAGGGTTTGGACTAATGACGCTAAGTGAAGAAACTTTGGTGTATTTGGGGTTGTTCTTTTTCATTCAAGCCTTTTAATTGTTTTAGTTCAGAGTGCAGTTCTACACACACTTAGCATAATCAAGGGGGCAGATACTCTACACAGAAACAGGAACCATAAGCCAGTTTCCACACAGAAGCAAATCTGCAATGAGTTTTATACCTTGGAGTAGTAAGAGCTGGTCTTGCTCCAGGCAAAAGGAAACGCAAGAGCTTTCCTAGGAGCAAGGCTACAGCAGAGGGCAGCCACAGACAGCTGGAGGCAAAACCCACTAATAACTAGACCTAGGTGAGATTCTTCTACAATCTCAGTTGCTTTGGGGCATTCAGCAGCAAGTCCTCCAGTGTAAATCCACATCATCATGAGCAATCATACCTCCAGCACCATCCAGCTGCCCTATCCTATTCACTGTTGTCTGTATCTCCTCAGAAAGGATAATTATGGGAAGGAAAGCTCTTTTCACTTCTCCCCAAATATGGCACAGTGGTATAACAAGCCTTCTGCCCCTTGGGTCACAGCCCTTGTCACAGCAGTAGGTTGAGCATGACTATAGCCCCTCTTGCTTCCAAACACTGGTGTGTAAGAGGCATGAGGTATGTCTGCACAGTTCAGCTGAAGAAGAGATGAAATTCTTGACGCTTTCAATGGGTCACAGAACTGCCACTCTGCTTTTTGCATCTGAGAAAGGCAACATTTCTCCTAGAATTACTGTTATGCCACAGTTCACACATAATCCAAACAGCACTGACTGTGGTTCAAAGCCCAGCACTGGTGAGGATGAAGAGTTTACTGCATAATACAGGTAACATCCACCACCCATGGTGTCCCTGCTGCATGTGTTTCACCCCTCCAATACATCCAACCTATAATGTACTTTCCAGTGCACACCATTAAACATTACACTCCAACTTACTTTGGAGGCTCCATAGATTGTCATCATTGGTGTTGGCTGACAACAAGCTGCAGAAGAAATGTTCACAATTGCCCCTTTCTTCTTCTTTACCATGCCTGGCAGCACAATATGTGTCATCATGTTAGCAGAAGCAATATTTACATGGATTATGTCCCACAGTGTATCCTCAGACAGATTAGTAAAATAGTCTGGGTAGGTATAAAACATTCCGACATTATTCACCAAAATCCCAATTTCTCTGTCTTTCAGAGCCTCCTTAATGGCTGGGTAAGGCTCACGCCCCTTGCTGAAATCGGCTACTATGTAATCTGTTTCCACCTTGTATGTTTCAGCTATGCTCCTGGACACAGCCTCCAGCTTCTCCTTGTTTCGGCTGATCAAGATGACGTTGACCCCGCGCTTTGCCAGTTCTGCTGCATACGCCTTCCCAATCCCATCCGTGCTACCTGCAAGAGAAAAGAAACACTGTGAAAAACAGAGCAGCACCAGCCTTCTATTCTGACAGTGCCTTCAGTTACCACTTTCTTCTCTTTTGTGAGATCATGTGGCACTGAAGGCTGATTTCAAAGCCACAACATTAAGGACAACAAGGTCAGCTGCAATCCCCTTCACACAAGTTATTATGTTGTATGACAAGAGAGAGCTCAAAGCAGAACCTTAATGAAGGGTGTGGATGTCAGAGGTACAGGACTCAAACCCTGTTGAAGAACTAGGGCACATATGAAAACCTCATAGCAGGAAAAGAATCTCATCTGCATCTCTATGCTTGTGTTCAGGGTGCGAATTCTGGGGAAAACTGTTGTGATTCTTTCTCAGCAGACTCACTTAGCTTTTCCATCTCCTGAGGAACTGAATTTCGTAGGGCAACGAATAACTGCCACTGCTCAAGCAGATTAACCTGCAGCCAGAGGTAACACAGGCCCCAGGTTGTGCCATAAAGCTCACCCAGCAGCACAAGCTACCAAGTTTCACCATACTGGCACAGCATGTTATATAAACACAAAGACACCACTTCATCTCTTACCAGTGACCACAGCCCATCTTCCATACTGTTTGATGAGATCCACCTCGCCGCCCAGCTTTGGAATGACATGCAACCTGAGCATGCTGTAAGTGTCAAAGGCCAAGGACACACATTTCCTGACTGTGTACCAGGCTCCCACGATAGCCAGGGCCTCCATGTAAAAACTGCAGGAACGACTGATTTCGCTGTACAAGAGGGAGAAACGATCCACTGCAGCCATGGTGATCACCAGCCTGAAAGGAAAAAAAGACACAGGAATTACAGTCACCTCTTGGGTCAGGGAAACTTTTCAGACTGTAGGGATAACCTTTGAGACTTGGTGTGTTACAGTCTGAGCACTGTTTTGATGCAGAAAAGCCACAAGTCAGCCTGCTAAAATGTGGGTATCCCCTACCATCATCCTCACTGGTTTAGGTAGTACTTAGCCCTTGTTCTAGGGTTTAGCTGTTCATCAGTTGTGCTGCAATGACACTGATCAACAACACTGTAAATAAAACAATTCAAGCAGAAGAAGCTCAACACATAAAACCTGATTTTGGAAGATCAGAGAATCGTAGAATTTTAGGGGTTGGAATGGACCTTACAGATCATCTAGTCCCAACCCCCTGCTCTGGGCAGGGACACTTCCCACCAGAGCAGGTTGTTCAAGGCCTCACCCAACCTGACATTGAACACTGCCAGGGCTAGGGCATCCACTACCTCCCCAGGCAACCTGTGCCAGTGTCTCACCACCCTCACAGTAAAAACCTTTTTCCTAATATTTAACCTAAATTTCCCCTCTTTTAATTTGTACCCCTTGCCCTGTCACCACAGCTCCAAACACAGAGTCACTCTCCAGCAAATCTGTAGCCCCTTCAGATTCTGGAAGGTTGTTACGAACTCTCCACACAACCTGGAAAACGAAGAACTACCTACAGGAGAGACACAAGTGTAACTAGCAGGAGAGAGCCGACAAAGAAACAAGAGGATAAAAAGCTACACGAGAGACAAAACAAGCTCAGACACAGAACCTCAGTTCCTAGCGTGATCACAGAGCATCCACCTCGGTCCTTGAGCCACGGCACGGCACAGCACATCAAGGCCACAGCGCACACAGTCCTGGCTGCGCCCTGCACAGCTTTCCCGAGTCAACACACGATGAAAACAAGCACGGGAGGAGACACCGCCCGCTCGGCACACCCCGCCCTGCCCATACAGCGCTCAGC